GGCCCCCGGGGGGCGCCCCCACGCGCAAGGCCGCCGTGGCGCCCGGGCCTTGGAAAGTGCCCGGCTCCGACAAGCTGCCGGGCGTCCTGAAGCCCGGCGCCTCGGCTGCGGGCAGATGAGGCGCGCGGCAGCAGCCCGCCGCGCCGCCTCGACGCCTGCAGGCCGTTCTTCTTAGGTTCCGTCTCACGGCGTTTTAATTTATTTTCACTGTCACACGCATAGATCCACGAGGCACCGAGGCCTGGGAGCATCGACGTGAAGTCCCACGTGTCCAACGAGCATGGGCGGTACAGCGTCCACGCGCAGACCCAAACTGATCCTAAAGCCCCCGGTTCCATTGTGGGGGCTTTGGCAGCTATGGAAGAACCAAAATAACGTGAAGAACATCACAGAGAGTGCAGTGTAGCTTTAGTTAAAAAAAGAAAGAAAGAACAAAAAATTTACCCCCACTGCATGAAGGATTTGGATGCCATCCAAACTCTAATATCAAGAAACTGGACAAGTTAAGAGCAATCACGAACTGGAATATCGCCTTAAAAATCAAAACTGCACGGAGCAAGCGGAAACTGAGACAAGATTATATCTTTTAATTGATCTAAAGAGTTGTAAATAAATTGTTCTCGACATATCTAGACAGGGGTTAAAAGGTTTCTTTGAAACATTCGGAACTGTTCGCCCATAACATGTTTCCATGGCTCACCCGTGGCATCCATCACCGGTATTAGCAGCAACGTTCCCTGCATACTGCAGGACAAGTTAGAAATCTAGTGAATTCATTGGTGTGATGCCATTTCTACTGCCATTTCTGTGATCAAATCATATTTCTGTACATTTTCAGTGGTAGAAAAAAAGGTTTAAAAAAATTGTATCTTAGGCAACAGATTGCCGTAAGTCAGAATTTTGCAGTTTAGCTCGTAGATCTTAATTGGTTTTCATCTAAAATGTGCGTTTTATAATTGAAGGACCACAATTTGTTTAATCAAGATTGGCAACGCTGCAGTTCCTTTATGAAAAGGCTTTCCTATTGTCTCAGGCTAGCAAAGATAGTAGCTTCTTTGACAGCAGTGTTCTATTTCACTTACTTTATTGTCTTTTTTAAAATCCTCTTTCCATTACTTCATTTTCACTTTGATAGAGCAGAGGCAAAGTGTTTCTCCTATATTTCTCAGATTATAAGGAATCCCTAGTATTAAAAAATCATATAATGGCCAATTTATTTTCATAAAAGAATGTGAACCTTTTAGCATTCTTTTCTGCTTTATCTTTCCTTATTCTTTTTCCTTTTATTTTCTTTTGGTTTGCTTTTTTGTCTTTGTATTCTTTGCCATTTTTTAAATTTCTTTAGCAACCTCTAGATGTTTCTGTTTATCTTCCCTGGATCTATGGTCGATCCCCTAGTAAAATTCTAAGGCCTGCCTTTCTTCCCTGCCCTTTTAATATTCCTTTGTAAAATGTTACCTTCAGTTAATTATCCATCGGTACTTATTTGTAGCTACACATATTAAAAGGCAAACTGTTTCTGAGGGCAGTTTCTCTTTAATTTGTCCTGAATGAATGAGGTTTCATCCTTCCCAGATTCTGGCCCTTACAGGAGTTCAAATGCAAATAAGCCTCACCTCCCTGAACTTGCAGTCAAATAAGTAAAACGGGAGATCAGCTCCATCACCCAAGGTCACACATAATGGCTCCCTCCGCTGACTCTTTCCTTCTCTGTAAATTGCAGTAACCTGAGCACTAGCCATTTAATTTGCATCAGGCATAGGAGTAGTTTAGTTGTTTGACAAGAGGAGAATATGGTTGAAAGCCTCAAGTGAAGAATCTTGCAGCTTGTAAAAGCAATTTCCAAAAATGGAATCCATTCATCAAAAACAAAAGCACAAACAAACACATGTAGCAGTTTGCAATACTTTCGGTTTAATCTCCATTAGTCTTTCTCCCCTGGACTAGAAATCCAGTATAGTTTGCCATTAATTTATTGAATCTGGTTTTGGACAATGCTTCTGTAGTGTAGCTGCACGTCCCGGTACTGTATCCTCCGACCTTTATTTTCCATGTGTTACAAAAGGATAAAAAAGTTGAGATTACGCTTGCATAAACTCTTCATTTGCACAGTTCACAGCTACTACTTGTGCAGTAATTGCTTTATGCGGCTGTAATCCATAACCTGTGAAGACAGCACATCATCTAAATTCCATTCCAAATAATATTTCTGTGTAGTGTTAGCTGTGAATTTACCCTGTACAGCTGTATCTCTATAAATATAATTCCATGTATTAATAGTCACAGAAAGACTGTAAGTGAGCAACTATTTTTATGAAACGCACCACTATGGATAAATTAACTTTTACAGAAATCTTGTTTACTGTATGATATTCTAAAACACTGTCAAATAAAATATATATCCAAAAACCTTTTCTTTTTCCAACTATATAGGCTGTGTGTTAATTTGAAGAAAGTAATTACTGGGAGTTAAATTTTTTTTAAACTGCGGTTTTCATAGTTTTTTTTTAGAATGGAAATTCAGTGCCCCCAAACAGGACTTTTTTTCAAACTTGAATCTAAATGCAGTGGAATTATACGGGGAAAAAACAAAAAACAAAAAAACCTGTTGAGTTTCCCCCCCCCACCCCAAAGTAAATGGAGAGTTTTCTCAAAGACACTCCAGTTGCCTGTCAGCTAACTACATCCCCATGAACTGGCAGTATGTTTCTGTTGCTTGCCACCCTGATTGATACTGTGCCTTTTTTTCAAAAAAAGGATTTCGGGTATCAATCAACAGTAAATCCCATCACATTTTTTTCCTTTTAATTCCGAAATTTTTTCATGTAAAATCCCAAGGAGTTTATGCAGAAGCCAACATTTAGTGAACAGTAGTGTAGAGATCCAAAATGAAAGGCTGAATATGCCCTCTGCAGTGTATTACAGTCCATACCCGGGGGGGGGGAGAAGAGAGGTCTGTGGAGTACTAGGAGGATGACAACCCCGCTATCACAGAGATCACAATCCAAAGAAACAGTTTTCAATCCTAGTCTTGTTGGGACCACCCACTGATACATATAGTAGGGGGCCTAACATTGCCAAACTGACCATTTTTACTCCACTATTAATTTTTTTAAAAATTAAGCATGTGTCACTTTTAGAAAAGGGAGGAAGCTGACATGATGTGTGAAATCAAGCACAAAAGTTCAGGTATTTGCAATAAATCCATGTCATTCTTTATGAACTAATCCAAGAAGGCCCAGTGCATGCTGAGAAAGCAAAAGACTTACAAAACAGTGTGGTTAACAAAATGGGGTGTAAACATTAATGATGCACGGCTAATTACTATTTTAAAAGAAAAAATATAAACATCATTAGGACATCAAAAAGATTAGAAATCATGGGATGCCTAGGTGGCTCAGTCGGTTAAGCGTCTGCCTTCGGCTCAGGTCACGATCCCAGGGTCCTGGGGTCGAGCCCCGCATCGGGCTCCTTGCTTGGGAGAGAGCCTGCTTCTCCCTCTCCCGCTCCCCCTGCTTGTGCTGTCTCTCTCTGACAAAAAAATGATTCAAAATCAGAGTCCAAAGGGATTAGGATAGAGACAGAGCAGGAGTACGATGAGGCCAGTGAGGCACCTGGTCGGGAAAAGGGCCTTACCGTGAATCAAATGGCTCCAAGGTCAGGCAGGAAATATGAAAAAATGAAGACAGCCAGGTTGGGGACTGGGCCAATGGACAAGCATGTCCCTCCTCTAAAGCTGTCATTTTGTCAGGTCCTACTCCACTGTGGAACAGCCTTTCAGTTTCTCAAGAGAAGAAAAAAAAATCAGCTTTTTATTTGAAATTTTATAGTTTGACAAGCTTAATTCACGTTTTTTAAGAAACACTGAACAAGAAGACAAAACACTACCACCATGAACCATCTGCAGACTAGGTGAGGCCCACAGCCCACCAATTTGCAGACTCTGTCTTGGAACAACAGCCAGACCTTCAGCAGAGAACCCCTTGCTTGCTTTTATCAGGGTCTGATTCACCTTCCAAGCAGTGGATCGTACAGACCCCCGAGATGGAAAAGCGTGTGGCTCTCAAGTCCAAACGTGCCTGGAATAACTTCAAATGTGTATTCTGAGTGTGAGGCCCTCTGCCAGAAACCTGATCACTGTTCTTGCACTAGAGCTGGTTTGTTGTGAGGCTGAACAAACTGAAGCCATTTGACATTTTATTATTCGTTCTTGATGAGTTTGCCCCAAACTGTGTAAGCATGGGGCTCTCCAAAGATTGAGTCTGCCCTGTCCTATTCATAGGACTCTTTCTCAGGCCAAACTCACGGCAAAATCAAATGACCTAATTGCCGAAGAATTAGGACTGAACAAAGATTCTTTTTCAGACAACCTTAGTGCCAGACAGGATATCTGTAAAATCACATGAGTGCTTTCCAGGGCTAATAATAGTAAGGGTACTAAGTCTCATGATGAGTTCTGCCTTGTGTCTAGTTCATTTGGGGCGCCAATGAAATGTGGTAAAGGGTATGGTTATGATTATTGATGGCAATGCTGTGGGGGTAGGCATTTGGGTATAAACAAGAGAGCACCATCCCAGAATTAAACCGAAACCTTGCTGGGCATTGGGTGGCATATCACCCAGACAGCTCAGTGATCAGGGACTCCATAAAAACTTAAGCGTGTCCTACCACTCAGGGGAGGGTACTGGCAACCACACACGAGAGTCAGCTGGGTTTTTAAGAGTTCCAATAGTTTGATGGGATCTTTTCTTTGATGAAACTGCCTCTTGGAGAGCGATTTCACCTGGAAGAACCCGATCTCCTGAATCTCGTGACCCTTGACAAGGGTCAACAAAGTGACCCTTGACTTTCCTTCTTGGGTGGAAGGTCAATTTTCTAAAACCCTAACAAGGTGTATCCGTGTGATTTCATGCCAGGTCAACTGCCTTCACACTGAGGAGCACACCTTCCTGGGGTACAAAGAGACTTTTTAGGGGGTACACAGGCAGGGAGAGCTTCAGGGAAATTCGTTTTCAGAAATTCAACTTCTATTTTTATGCATTTCAAACCCGTGGATGGCCAGTTCCCACATTGCCACCTGCCCACTGCAAGGAGCTTTTACATTAGAGAAGCAAGATGA